AAGAAAGAAAGAAAAGTGGAGTGGGACCCACTAAGTTGCTCTCAACATCCAATGAGTCACAACTCACAGTTTGAGGGACACTGCCCTAGTACTCACAGCCTAGTTTAGAAGGGTCTAGAAGCAGCACAGTGAAAGGGCTAAGACTACGGACTCGGGGAGCAAACCCCCAAATTCAGGTTGCTGGTCTCCCGCTTATCACCTGTGTGACCTTGGGCAAGTTAATTGCCCTGTTTATACCTCCATTTCTTTGTCTGCAAAACGGGGTGATGAGAGAACCCACCCCTTACAGCTGGTGTGAGGATTAAGTGAGATAATAAATATGTAAAAGCCGAGAAAATTGTCAGGCACCTAGCAAGTGCTAAGTCGGCTGCCATTGTCACCATCATTATCATCTTTTTTGTCATCTTTGATCCCTCCTGTGATCTTCTCTTAAAATAAAGCTAAATTGCAGTAGACTGGTGAGGGGGAAAAAAAAAACTAGCAATACCATAGGATTTATTTGCAAAGCCGTACAAAACTACACAGTGTGCAGGGCAGGATGGAGCGATGTCCCCGGACCTGCTTCACGCCCGCCCTCACTCCTGTTTGCAGGGCAAGGCAAGGACAGGGCTTCTTGTCCAGCCGTGGTTCCGTGTCCTGGAGACCACAACTGCTGGATCCGAATGCCTCTTCTGTCTTTTACTAATAAGCACTTTATGTCCCTGCTTACGTTTTGTGACCCACCTAGAATCCCCAACCCCTAAGTGCTGAGGCCTTCTGCTATGGTCTGAATGTTGGGGTCCCCTCCAAATTCTTATGTTGAAACCTAACCCCCAATGCTATAGCATTAAGAAGAGGTGGGGCCTTTAGGAGGTGATTCCAATGGGATTAGTGCCTTATAAACGAGGCATGAGGAAGCCTCTTGCCCTTTTTTACTGCCATGTGAGCACTGGGAAAGAAGGTGCTATCTCTGAAGCAGAGCCAGAGCCCTCACCAGATACGGAATCTGTGTGCGCCTTGATCTGGAACCTCCCAGCCTCCCAAACCGTGAGCCATAGATGTCTGTTGCTTACAAATTACTCAGTCTAAGGTGCTTTGTTTTATCAGCCTGAACAGGCTAAGACAACTTTCTTACACAGTGTCCTGGGGACCGTATTAGAATGTCAGTCCGCAGAAAGGAAGATTGAGTTTCTTTTCTCATCACTTCAGTGCATTCAATCCAATAAAGGACAGCCCACAAGGGGGTTTTAAAAAAAAGAGAAAAAAAAAACAACCTCTCCGTTATGCCAAAGGCTGGCTTGATTCAACAGAATTTTGCTCAGATGGCAAAATTAAGGAAGGGAAGGGCATCTGCCGTCGGGTGGGTAAAGGCTAAAATTCCAGAACGTTCCAACAATCCCCCAAAGGACAAACTCAGGAAATAAAGAATTGAGACGTGGAGTCAATATTTCATTGGTCGTGATGATCAAAAGAGAATGGATCACACACACACAGAGACCTCGTCCCACCCGCTGCAGGGCGGAAGCCGCAGCTCTGGGCCTCGCAGCCCCTCCGGGCCGGGCTTCTCCTGCGGGCCCTGCAGCCACCGCCCCGCCCGGGACTCGGCCCTTCACTCCGAACCTTTGCCGCCCGGGCTCTCGTCTTCCCTCTCCGTTCTTCGCCCGGACGCCCGGTGCCGGGCAGAGATGTGGAAACGGAGGGCTGGGCCCGAGCCTGCTCCGGACCGGGCTGCGACGTCAGCGAGCTCGTCTCGGTCTCCCCTTCCCAAACTCTCTCCTCCTCTCCCGTCTCCCACCCCATCATTGTTCCCCGGAAACAAATAGGATGGCTTCACTGCTCAATTCTTTACATGGACAAACACCAAAAGCAGAGGAAACGCCCCGTGGCCACCCCCCTCCCCCCGAACCCCAGTGCTGGGAGCGCAGCCGCGGGCGGGCTGCCTGGATCGCGGCGCTGCGGGCGCTGTCCGCCGTCCTGGAAACTTCTTTGGCCTCTGGGCTTTACCTGGAGGCCTCTTCCTTCAGCTCCTTGTTTTTCCGCACCTCCTCAGCGTGCTTGTCCTGGGAAGGAAGGCAGGGAAAGGCCAGGTCACATAAGGCTGCCCCGGGGACAAAAAGAGCCGCCCGAGGGGCAAGAGAACCGAAAGCAAAGAATGACCACGCAGGAAGTGAAGAGCTGTGTCTGCAAAGACGTCCTGAGAGGGGCAGAAGGCGGCAGGTGAGACGGCAGGAGGCAGGTGGGGGAGCCTGCTGGTGCGGCCCTGGGAGCTCCTGGGCTGGTGCGTCCCAACCTCCCGCCAGGGACACACTCAGAGGCAGCCCGAGGACCCTCGACCTCTCCATCCCTCATTTGGCCATGCTGGGTTTGGACTGATTTCGTGGCTTGACTTAATACAAGGAGCCACTGCAGGCAGCTCGCGCCAGAGGAGCAGACAGAACAGACAGGCCTCGCTGCAAGCTTCCCCTGCAAACCCCATGCCCCGCTGCTTTCATTTCTCCTCTGTGTCCTCAGCGAGAGCCACCTTAATCCCCTGGTGGAAGATGAGCACTCTTGAAGTACAAATTCACAGCAGAATTTCGGGGAATGTTGCCCAAGTCCCAAAAGGTGGGCTTTCTCACATCGACTGTGAGAGAACCTTCTTTTGTCTCACTGCATAATGCAGCCAAAAGACGGGACCTGCCTTCCAAGGCCCACTCGCTGTGGGACCTCGGCCAGCTCACTCCTCCAATCAGGCCTCGGTTCTCTGATCTTTAAAGAGAGGGGTGTGGGTGGGAAGCTCCTTCCCCTCTTGAGTTCTGTGATTTTTAGTGTTCACCTGCTCACTGTGCACATAGCTCGCTCTTCTATTAGAAGACAACCTCCTAATGTATTTGCAGCTCCTACTATGGCCCTTGCACCTGGCAGGTGCTCCTAAATGTTGTCCCTACTGGAGCCTGGCATTATCACACTCAGATGACACAATCAGCCCTGAGTAGACCCACTGAGGCAGTCCAGCTTCCCAGAATATATCTTACACTATACATCTGTCTCTGGAGAGGCCCAAGAACCCACATGGCCTGGGAATGGGGCAGTGGTTCTAGAACTTTGCTATGTATCTTCGTGACCTAGGAAGCACTACGCCTAGAGAGTGGGGCTAGTAGGTCTGGGGTAGGGTTCGAGTAACTGTATGGTTGAATTTTATACCGAGTGAATCTGGTACAGGTGGTCAGGGACCTGCACAAACACTGGCACAGGAGGCATTGTAGCGGTGTCTCTGGCCCAGTGCACAGGTGTGCATGGCGGAAACCACATACCTAGCTCTCAGCCCACCTCCTTCCTCCACCAGTGGGTAAAGGGGAGTAAGGATCAAAGTCCCAGAGGGATGATGTCCTCTCCAATGTCTTCTCTGACATCTTGCTTCTTGGAGTCCACGTCCCCTCCACAGCTGTTACTCTAGAAGGTGGACCCTTCCAATCTCTCCACTGTGAATCTACCTCCATGCCCAGGTGAGCTCACTGGGCAGTACCCTAGATTTCTGGACTCCCTTTCCTTGGCCTCCAGAGTCCCCCTCAATGACAAAATGTTGGCAGGACAATCATGGATGCTCTCCCTGAGCCACCTGGCTTGGAGCCAAAGAGCTGGGTGCCAGTCCCAGCGCCATGGCTTGTTAGCTATGTGACCCTGGGCAAGTCATCCACCTTGGTTTCCTTGTCCGCAAAAGAAGGATGACACTTGTCCTGCTTACCTCATGGGCTTGTTGTGAGGCTAGTGGGGTGATGGAATGGAAGTGTTTTGCAAACAGTCTTTCAAACACCGTATCGTGAGTCCAGCCTCAATGATTTGTTTTGGGTTTGGCCTGAGAGCCTACATCCCATCCTATCCCAACCCCAGATTTTCCTTCTTCTGGAATTTGCTCCAAGTCATCCCTCGATAACTGTGGAAGCCTGAAGACAGACCCAGATCTCTTCCCTCCCAGGTGACACCCTGCTGAGTGTCCCGATGCCCCTGTGCATCAGAGAGCAGGGGCCACCACACGCTGGCTGGCTCTAGGGCCTGCACAACACTGATTCTTTGTGCAGAAACCAGATCTTTCTAGCAGCTGTTGCCCAGGGCCTGAAACTCTAGGTGGATGGGCAAGGAGGAGTGGGGACCACTCTGCTCACCATGGGACGAGGCCACCGATCAGGTCCCGGGAGTCACCGCGCAGCAGGCGGCTCCTGGAAATAAAACACAGAGCTGGAGCTCTCCCAGGAGCTGCAGGAGAAACTGGGGCGGTCTTGAGACCCAGGAAACGAGGCCAGCGTGTTCTCAGCAGAACGAGCTGTTATTCTGCTGACACGGAACCAACCCAGCCTCTCGTGTTTCTCATATTTAGGTGACACCATTCAGTTTATTGACAAAAGGCAGCATATTGGAAAGACCTGTGACTCACTGGGTCTCTGTCAAGAGGTTTGGAGAGAATCATGTTTCCTGCTCAATGGGCAACTCAGCGCATCATACCCTTGGCTTAGAGCCAAGAGTTCAAGAAAGCATCTTTCATTAAATCAAATCAGTCTGTTCAGGGGTGAAGCCAGGAATGTAGAACTGCTTGTCTGTCCCTACACCCTTGCATTAGACAGGCTTCCTCCAGAAAATAAGAGGTGTTCTCTCCCTAAGACAATGAAAACTTTCAGTTGTGTAACTGTGCAGAATATCTCCCAAGGAAACCCAGAGCTTGGTTCATGTTTCTTGCCTATGACTTCCCAAATCATCCCCTTGGAACTCTCCAAGGGTCCTGCCTAATAGAAACATCCCCATTCCTGCCCAAGGCTGCTCCCTCCCAGACGTGATATGCAGGTCCATGCTTCCATGCATACTTGCCACGGAAGTACGACAGGTGTCCCAGGAGCCTCCTCTCTGGTCCAGGGTCACTCACCTTCTCTTGCAGCCGTTCCAACATGGCAGCAAGGTGGGCCTCCCGGTTCTCTTTGTTGGATTCCATCTTTTGGGCCAGTTTTTCCTTAGCCATCTTGATGAAATTGTTGTTTTCCTCAATGGCTTTTTGGATCACCTCCCGTTCGTGTTCCCGTTTCTCTGCTAGGTGTTTCAGGAGCTCAGCTTCCTGGTACTGGGGACGCACAAGGCAGAAAGAGGCCCTTCAGAGTGAGCATGCCGGGGAGTATTTTTGCCATCATAGCTGAAAAGCTGCACACCAGGAACACACGCCTCCCTGGGTCTGGTCCCCGTCCCCTTAGCAGGAAGCTTCCTGGATTTTCCCACCACCTGCAGAGCCTTCCACACCCTTTGATTTTTTTCCAGTCTTTTTCTAAATATCCTCAGGGTCCTTTTTCTAATTGCCATATTCATTCATTCGTTCACAAATACTTAATGATCTTGTACCATGTGCCGGGCACTGTTCTAGCAACCTGGGGGAAAAAGGTCTAGGAGAGATAAGACAACATATAAATAACTAAAACCCAGGCCAGCACGTAACATGTGCCCTAAGAGGCAGAGAGGCTGTGCTAGAGGAATTCAGGCTAGGAGAATGTTCTGCTTGAAAGATAAAAGCTGACACGAAGATGGCATCAGTGTTTGGCCGTGAGAATCAGCAGAAAGCACAGAGGGTACACCAGGAATGGAGCTTTCCCTAAATCCTTAGCATTTGTCAACATCTTACTCTTGCCACCGTGCATTTAAGGCCACCTCTGGGAAGTACGCAGTGCACTGCCCTGTCCCCACAACGAAACCGTCAGCTCTTAGAACCCAGGGCTTTTACTTCTCTGTTCCCCTCAATGGCACCTCATCCTCTGCCCCATACTCGCGAGATGCTGCCTAAGTGTTTGCAGGTTGACAGTGACCTCCCCCCAGCTCAGGACCACCCCATGTCCTCTCTAGCCCGTCCCCCTTGTGCAGAGATGGAGGGAGGAAAAGGGACAGCATTTACCTTCCTTCGTTCCTCAGCTGCTTCTAGTTTCTTCTGGATCTCTTCCAGGGAAGGGTCTCGCCGCCGGGGCAGGGAGGCGTTGAACTCGGGCACCCCATCAAAGGAGGGCGGCTTCAGAATGACTTCGAAGGACTGGCCCGAGGTGCATTTGTTCAGCTCGATGACTTCCATGTCAGAAATGACGCACCAGTTCAGGTCCACCGTGTCCGCTGCAGAGGGCAGGAAGGGGGCTGCTCAGGTCCTGGAGGATGTGGGGGCGCCCAGCAAGCATGCACAGGTGCGCACGGGTGTGGGGGGCTGGGGACCCCAGGGCGAGCCAGGGGCCCAGGGGGCTGGCTCCATCCTGCACGCTGGCATCTAAGGTCAGGGGACTCTGACAGGGTTGAAGTCTGCAGCCACCGTGGGTGGGGGCCCCAGGACACATGAACTCCCAGGACGGCTGCAGCTTTTGCTTTTGTTTCTGCCACCAGGCTCCTCGATGGTTGAGCTTTGGCTCAGCTTGTCGTCTGTGGTGACAGACAGCGGAGCACTTCACCCCCCCCCCGCGCCGCCCACCCTGTCCACCCTCGCCCCGCTGCCCGTCTGACGCTCGCTGCGATGCCTCTCCCCGCCTCCCTCCTACCCTGCGCTCCTCTCTCTCTCCAGTCAGCACTGTCTTCCTGCTGGCCTTGATCCTTCCTCCTACACTGTCTCCCACACCAGCCTAGACGGAGAAAACAGTCTCAGGTCAGCCGAGCTCTCCCAGCCCTCGATGCCAGACCAGACACATCCCTTCCTTTTCATTGGGAAATTAGGAGGCCGCCTGACCCCCGGACACTCCTGGGGGGACGTGGCCATCCGGGACTCCCTGCTGGTGTCTCAGGACTGTCCCCACCGCAAGCCCCACATGGCGCGGCTGTCACAGAGCCTCCTCTTCCCGCCTCTGGACACCCCCAGAACATGCTCTGCCCTTCCCCGAGGAGACCTGCCAGCCTGGAAACCATGGTTCACACTGAGTCCGGTTTCCTGTCTAGTCTAGATGTTGTCTGCCTGGGTCCCCTTTGCATGTCTGCAGCCTCGATTTGTTAAGCGCAAGCACAGAGGTGACACTAAGATCAGGGGCACCCTGAGGAGGCCTGACTGGGCCCTTCAGGGACCGTGCGCAGTGCCCGGGACGCACCCCTGCAGCTCAGCCCCTCGGGGCCCGCAGCCCTGAAGTCACTGGCTCTGGGAAGGAAACCGGGCCAGGGTGCCGCACCCAGGGGCCCGGGACACAGGAGCCCTCGGCCCCCATCTCCCTGAGCCTTCACTGACCTTCGTATTTGTAGGACGACTTATTCAGAGGGTCAGCCAGGAAGCACGAGCAGAACAAGGACACCAGCGGGAGCTCCTTCATCTTCTCTTTGTAGGCTGCGGGGACAGCGGCGCGTGAGGCCGGGACGCCCCCCGCACTGGCCGGAGCCGCCCTGCAGTGCTAAGAAGCCGGACGGCGGGGCATCCTCACTGCCGTCCCTCTGGCCCGGCCCCTCACAAAGTCAGCCCGGGAGCCTTCCCGGGGGGCCGGTGCCCACCAGGACTGCAGTGTAACCCTCCGCCCCGGCCGGCGCTGCCCTGGCCCGGCCGTGCCCCGCCAGCGCCCCCCACGGCCCCGGTCGCTCAGGCTGCAGCCGCAGCCAACTCCAGTGGGCGCGCTCCCCTCATCTCCTTTCACAAATCTGAAGACACAACTAACTGCAGAACCATTACATGGGCATCGTCAAACCATATTTCAAAGCACCACACAGATGAGCAAAAGGAAAAAACCTCAGCCGTGACCCCACCCGCCACTAGAGATGACTTCCTCGCGCCGCCGGTGTGTTTCGCGGCCTTTCGTCTCCCTGCGTCTGTGAGCGCACACGTGGGGCAGGGAGGGGGACAGTCTGTGCCACGGCGCCCGCCACACGCGCAGCAGGTCTGTACCTACCAGCGAGGGTCATGTTTCTGGGCTCTGGTGGCTGAATCCGACTGAGAGTCCCAGAGTGGGTCTGTCGCCAGCTCAGGACGCTGTCACACGCCTGAGAAAAAGAGAGTGCAGGATTTTACTGCTGACAGGTTATTCTCAGAAGGAAGATGTTCATACACCAGAGGCACTCTGGAGGTACCTCGTTTACGCCACGTCCAGGCCCTCCCCCAACAAACCCCAACGGGGGGGCCCCCAACCTCCACGAACCTCCCACACCACCGCAGCCAAGCTCGGTTCCCCTGCACTGATGATGCCTGGTAACGTCCTGGGCTCGGCCCCCACAGTATGCAAACACGGGTTTCCCAAAACTGTGGGCAGGGGGTGTCCACCTGTCTCCCTGTGCCACTCAGTGGCCCGACCCAAAGCGAGGCTTAGGGTGAGAGACAAGTCCTCAGCCAGGATCGGCTGGGCGGTGTTTGCAAAGTAACTGGTGTGTCCCAAATGTGTCCCTAGACACACCCCAGACCTCTCCAGCATGGGGTGAGAGAGAATGGGGCAGAGGATGCTAAAATACCCCTTCAGATACGCTCTCCCTTCCCCTTCCCCGAGATACTGACCCAGGCTCTCTTTGGCCCCATTTAAGACAACCCCGGACTACGAGAAGAGACGAGCATTAGGAATCACGGCATCATAACGTGGCTTGTGCAGAGACCGAACTCAGCATGCAGGGTTGCTGCTGGACACAGACGTGGGCTCCGTGCCCAGCATGAGGGGTCCCTGGTGTTAGTGGCACACACAAGGGTTGGGGGAGAAAGCTCGGGGTCTGTGGGACCTGTCTCCAGCTGGTTGATGCTGGACCAGACAGCAGGAAGGGAGGAGGGGAAGCAGAAGGAGTCACAGGAGACGCAGGGTAGGAGCAGATCTGGGAGGGCCAGCGGGCAAAGGTGACAGGCCCCACTGAAGGCTGAGGAGTGGGTGGCGGTGAGTGTCTGTCATCAGGACCACTTGATCCTCAGCCACCCCCGTGGTCACTGTGCCCATGGAGGGTGGCGTGAGCCAGCAGCCCCACTGCCTGCATCCTCACCAGGCAAAGGGACTCTGAGATCGACTTCAAGCCCCTTTCCTTCCATAAAGAGGGTGTTTTCCCTCTGGGGACCAGAGAGGGTGCTCGCTGGGCAGGGAGCTCATGGGAGCTATGACCTCAGCTCAGGCTTTAGGTCTAGACCAGGGTGGGGTCAAATACAGATGCCATCTCTCTTACTAGCTGTCCCTGGTCATGTCACATGTCTAAACCTCGCTCTCCCCGTCTTAATTCTGCACCGAGTTGTACAAATAAAATGAGGAAAAGCACGTGCATAGCATCTGGGAAACAGGAAGTGCTTAATAAACATTAGTCTTCTTTCCTCTGCCTTTTGCATCAGGGCAGCTTCCAGGTGCCACACGCCTGCTTCCGAGTCATTACCTCTGGTCCTCACCACGGCCTGCAAGTAAGGACTGTGATTTCTGTGTACAGGTGGGGAAACTGAGGCTCGGAGGGTTCATGTGCCCGGCTCAGGGCTAGAAAGTCAGAGTGCAGATGTGACCCAAGGTCTCGCTGGCCTTAAAGTGCTTTGTTCTTCTTGTTGTTGTTGTGCTCTGGAGCCAGAGGCCCCTGCGCACCCTCCCCTCCCAGGACAATGGGTCTTCTCTCCTCAGAGTCGAGCTGGTCCTGGCAGCACCAGGGAGTCCCTGAGCAGAGTGGCAGGCCTGGTGCCTGGGTGTGACATCCCCGGTCATGAGGCCCCATCCTGCATAATCTCTGCTCAGGGCCAGGCTGACTGACTAGTCACTGGAAGTGAGTAAGCCTTGGCCAGGAGAGGCAGTGGCCTGGATTTCAACCTGGGGGACAGAAGGGAGGAAGAGAGGGACACCCTAGAAAGAAGCAGGGGTGACACCCACAGTATCCCAGTCGATCTCCACATGAGACTGGGCTGGACTGACAAGACAGGCACCATCAGCTTTGCCTGCAGATGAAGAATCTGAGGCTCAGAGAAGTTAAGACGTTTGGCTGAGGTCACACAGTTCTAAGGCAGCAGAGCTGCCTTAGGCTGTTAGCTCTTGTGACCGATGGAGGGTCTAGATGTTCGTCGCTGGTTCCTCCATGGTCCTGAGGACTGAGGGAAAGCCAGCCTGGCCTGAGGATACAACTTAATTTTAAAATATGCAGTAAGTGCTTTCCACATGGAAGACATTGTGCTAGGAGTTTTAGCAACACAGAGAAGGTCAGAAATCCAGAGAAGGAAGACCAGGGCAGGAACAGGAGCTGGACAGAGGTGGGCATGGTCAAGGGATTTGTAACTGAGACCCTCTGTGCCCCAGGGTTGGAGCCTGTGTAGATAAAATTGTGCTTCACGTAGAGCACCTGCTGTGTGACAACGCTTTCACTTTAATTTTCACAATAACCTTGTAAGGTAGGATTTACTATCCCCATTTCACAGATGAAGAAATGGAGCCTCAAAGAGGCTAAGTGATGTTTCCAAGGCCATTCAATATAGTGGGTTGAATGGTGTCCCCTACAAAAACACATCCACGTGTAATCCCTACAACTTGTGAATGTGACCCTATTTGGAAAAAGGGTCTTTTGCAGATGTAATTAAGGATCTCAAGATGAGATCGTCCCTGACTACCTGAGTGGGCTGAAATCCAGTGGCAAGTGTCCGTATATGAGATCCGCAGAGAGCAGGGAAGGCCGTGTGCAGAGAGAGGCAGAGACTGGAGCAATGCGGCTACAAGCCAAGGAAAGCCTAGGGCTGCCAGAAGCTGGAAGAGGCAAGGAAGGGTCCTCCCTGGGGTCTTTGGCAGAGCACCGCCGCAGACACCTTTATTTTGGACTTCTAGCAAACTGTAGCCAGCAATGGAGTGGGGACCACCAAGCCTCTCTTGGGACAGCCAGAGAGGAGCAGTAAGGGGCGTTATGCCCAGGGTCAGAGCACACAGAGTGCCAGGAATTCAGGTGAGTGGGATGAAGATTGAGAGACAACAGAGGCCACAGTGGGCCTGAGGCCAGGAGTTCAGGACATCGGTAAGAGATTCTATCCGAGGCGTTAGCCATCAGAGCAGCGCAGGGCAGACCCCAGTGCTGGGGCAAAGCTCTGGCCCACCCGGACGCTCCTCACGTGCTTTCTGTTAAGATGGAAGCCAAGCCTCGCCCTTGGGTGCTCCCTAGGAAAGACCAGGAACCTGCCTGCACCTGGCGGTAGCAAAGATCAAAGGAGCCCTTGACGCCAGGTCGCTGTGACTGACATTCATGAAGCCGATCATCGCGGAACCGGAGCTAGAGCTCAGGACAGCGGGCTCGGGCTCCTGGGGCTCACTGCCCAGCACCTCTGATGCTCACAGACTTGCTGGCGAAGAGGCAGCCCAGGCCCTGAGCTGTGGATCGTGCCAGCACAGCAGGTGGCGAGAGGACTCAAGCTTCAGGTGGCAAAGGTGAGAGGGGCCTCACCCCAGGTTGCGATGGGTGATTGTGCGATTGCGGGTCCGCGATGCCTGTAACCTTGCAATGGCTTTGAACCTGCCTGTGTGCTGGGTGTGGGCTGGGCCGCACACAAGGTGCATTGGGACAGAATGCTCGCAGGGGAACGGGAAGATCGCAGAGCCCTCCCGACCGGTGAGGGAGTTTGCACTTTACCTCCCAATTCGGCAGGAAGCCACCGAGGGGAGAGGAGAACGGGGATGCTGATGATAATAGCAGTGACGATCGCCACCACTCTCAAGCACCTACTTTGTACCAGGAAAATGCAGACATTGTCCCAATTTATTCTATGAGGTTCTTTGAGAACAAGGAAGCTCAACAGCTAGGTAAATTATACCAGGTCACACAGGCAGCAGGGGCAGAGCTGGGATTTGAGTCACCTGTGGCTCTTTCTGAAGCCCAGCTGGCTTTAGATTCTACTACTAGCGCAAAAAGACTCACCTGGCAGCATCAATGTGGGGCAAAGATTAGGTAAGAGGGAAAGGCTGGGAGCCGAGTGGGAGCTCTAGGGACACAGTGTTGGGGACCTGCCTAGACCGGATTGTTTGCACCCCGCCCAGCACTGCTTTCCCGGTCACAAGCTGGTCGACACGTTTCCCCCAGCTCCAGCGTCGGAGAGTCTGTGGATGGGAAAGCAAGTAATTGCACCTTTTTGTTGATGAATTGAACCACTAGCATAATGAGTAAAAATTAATGTGAGAGAGTGATAACCCCACCAAGCCCAGAGCCGCCACGAGGAGCTCAGATGTAGGACAAGCAAGTCTCAACTGGAGGCGGGCATGGCTGACAGTGAAGATGTGGAATCTGGCAGGGGGTCTCACGGTGGGAAGGCGAGAAGAAAAAGATGCCTAAAGGGAGGAGATCAGAGCCCCCAATTTCCCCTGGAATACCAGAATGTCAGAGAAGAGAGAATGGACGATTGCAAGCCAGTGGTTCTCAGGGGCTGGGTGGTCTAAATGTCCTGCCTTGCACGACAATCCCACACAATAAACAATTGTCCCTTCCAAAACCCCTGTGTCCTCCTCCCTGGGGACTGGAGATCCTAAGGTCGCACAGCGAGCTACTGGCAGCTCCAGACTCCAAAACTCTGGCTTCTAGAGTCAGTACACTTCCCCTTTGTACTGGTCCCTTCTCTGCCCCAAACACCAGCCTGGGTGGGAGGGAACAGCCCACCTGGGTTCACCAGAGCACATTTCTATGAAAAATGGGTGTGCAGAAGGGATACCCCAGCAGGGCACTCTTATGTAACCCGCACTCCCGGGCTTTCTGTAATGCAGTCGATGACCGGGGGCAGACAGAGAGGTGCACCAAGCTCACAGATGCCACCTGGCCACCTGCTGGGCACATGCCTGACCCCCACAGGTGTCTCTGACAGCACGTACAACTCAGTGAGCAAGCATTTTATTTGTCGCTGTAAGAAATGCCCAGACAATGCTCTCGGGATGCGTCAAATTCCATGTGGACTATTTTTGAGAGATAAGCAGCTAGTGCACGTCCAAGTGGTTTGAATAGAGTTGTCTCTGGCAAGGGCTTTAGAAGACAAATATAGGATCCCTGGCACGGAGTCAGGATGAGTACTTCATGGGTGTGGGAGCAGC